GGACTCGCCTAGAACTGCACGATTCGAGGAGAAAGAGAGAAAAGAACACAGATCCTTCTCCCGGGCGCGCCCCGGGCCTCGGCTGCGCTCCGCACCACCGGGCACCGGGGAAACACGTTTCCTTGCTCGTCCTTGCTCCACTGAGTGTCCATTGTTTTACCAGATATTTTTTGATGTGACAGACATTTCCTTAAAACAGAATTATTCTGTGCATTTGCTAGCATGTGGGAAATGTGCATGGAAATACATTAGAGATGAGGCAGGTCCTCCTCCCCGTCTCCATCCTCCTCCATCTTCTCCAGGACCCGACGGAGGGTGAGGATCGGGCCGGACGTGAAGTCACCTCGAAGCTCAAGGACCGGAGTCCGCCCCCAGGACAAGGGGAGTGGGCGCGAGGAAGGCAGGAAGCGAGGTATTTGTCAGGATCAACCGGGTTGCGTGACGTCTGGTGGCAAACATCTCTCCCTTTCCAACCCGAGTCCCAGACGCCCAAGTGCGGGCGGGAGCGGCACATGCGGGGAACTCACGGGGGCGTCCTGGGAGCGAGTCGCAGCTGAGGAGCGCCTGTGGCCTCTGGTCCCTGAGAAGGCGGTTCTCCAGATTCTGACCAGTCCTGCTCGCGGGTGTGGGGGGGGGACCAGGCCTTCCGACCCCTGCAGCCCATCAGATAGAGAGCAGGACTGGGCAAGGACGCGTCCCCATCCAGCTTCCCACTCGGCCACAGGAGGCCCAGCCGGGATCCCGTCGCGTCCGGAAAGAGCCGGGGGTGGAGGTCGGCCGGCAGAGCACTTGGGGGCGGCTCCAGGTGAGCTGCGAGGGCTGGGAAAGGGGTGTCGCTCCCAACAAGGTTTCCCGTCTCCTCGGGCCAACGTGGCCGCCCTCCCCTGGGAGACCCGGGTCTCGAGGGCTTTGCAACTGTCTAGGAACCGGCCCAGAGCCAGCACAGAGCTGAGCTGTCGAGAGGGAACCAGAGGCGACCACAGCCTTCGATGGTCCCCTTTCCATCGACCGGAAACCCGAAGGGGAAGAACAAAGCCACCTCGGGCGGCTGGGATGAGCTTCTGCAAAAAAAGGCAAGTTTAACAACGGCCCGGCCAGTGAGGCTCCGTGGCTGAGCGTTGGCCTAGGAGCCAGGAGGTCACGGTTCGATTCCCGGTCGGGGCACTGGCCTGGGTTGTGGGCTCCATCCCCAGTACGGGGCCTGCAGGAGGCAGCCGATCCGTGATTCTGTCTCAGCATGGCTGTTTCTCTCTCTCTCTCTCTCTCTCTCCCTTCCTCTTTGAAAGCAATAAAAATATAAAAAAAACACACACAAGAAAAACAATATTATAAACAAACATAGGGATGGTCACCCGGATGCCTCCTCCTGCAGAAGGAACGCCAACCGGCTGCAGCTAAGCCTCACACACAAGTCGCCGCAAAGTAAACGGACCGTCCACTGGTCAGTCACCCTCCCCGCACACGCGCAGTGAACGGGCCCAGCGTGGCACAGTCCGTTTCGCTACAACCTCGCCCGCAAAGGACACGGTCTCCCGTGAAACACGTCGCTCGCTCTGGGCCTGGCCCCAGGTAACACGCGCGGAGGGTCTCTGACCCAAATCCTGGCCTCGCCGGCGGCCAGGCTGCACTTCAGAAGCTGAATTCGAGGCAGGCGAGCGGCCCTGGGCTCTGCCGTCCCAGACAGCGGGCACAGGCCAAACCCCTCCTTTTCCCCTTTTGCTGGAAACTCTGAAAACTCGCTCTGTGTGTTCGTTCCAATCGGACGGGCCTCGGCCTCACTGGGTCCTCCACCTCGTTCCCGAGTCACAGGTGAGCCGCTGACCACGCACCCTCCCGTCCGACAGCCTCACCACCAGGGGACAGAAGTCACGTCTTCTGAGCGGCCACGAGTTCACGGACAGAGGCCGTGGGCCCTCATCGGGTTCGGGATCCCAGCCGCACAGACGGAGGCGGACGGACGAGGGACCACCTGCTCCTCTGGCGCCGTCTTTACTGGGCAACCACGACAAGCGCACGGGCCAACCCTCTCACGTGTCTTCCGTCCTGACTCCGCCCACAGACGGCACGCCGTGACCTACGGCCCCTGTGCACACGCGTGTTCTGCACGGTGACATGACGGCGTAAGCGTTACCATAAGCCCAGGGAGCAGGCGCACAGCCACAGCCAAACTAACTGAATACAGTTCGAGTGATAAAGGCACTGAAATTGACTCACGTTACCCGGCGGCCCCGACAGCGCGGCACTGCCAGCCAGCGCTCTTCTCGCTCCATCTGCCACGTCCGGGGAGGGAGAGCCAGTTCAGAGAGGATCAGACACGAGTAAACGCACGGACCGCTGACATGGACGAGGCCAGAGGGGCTCAACGCAAAACAACACGCCTACGGGCCACATCCGGGACCCACTGGTCAAGGATGAACCAGAAAGAGCCGTCTTTCTTCTCTACGTGAAATAATGTCAGGAGGTTGGAAGGAACGAGGACTCATGACAGCTTCCAGGGTCACGGCAATGAACACGGATCCCTCTCCTCAGAGACGGCGCCCAGGAGCGACCTGAGGCCCCGCTGTCCCCGGACCACACCCCCACCGAGGCGCCCCCAGCTCCCACGCCAGCCACGTCGGCTCTCGTCCTCCGCCTCCAATCAGGTCCCGAAACCACACCCGCTGCCTGCTCCTCGGCCCCGTCCCGCCCCCGCCGCCGCCTAGTCCGCCTTCAGGTTGGCTTTGTTCATCTCCCCGAGGTTGAAGTTGAACTCCTTGAACACCTGGATGAGGACGATGCCCACGGAGACGGTGGTGAAGCCGCAGGCCATGCCCAGGAAGTCCACCAGGCCGACGTGGCTCCACTCGCGGAAGAGGATGGCGGAGGCCAGCAGGACCAGCGTGGTGAAGACCACGTAGTAGATGGCCCCGAACACGGAGGAGTCGAAGCACTCGAGCGCCTTGTTGATGTACCTGAACTGGACGATGATGCTGCAGCCCAGCACGGCCAGCAGCACCAGGCAGAGGCCCAGGGCGCGCCGGCTGGACGGGTTGTTGTGCAGCAGGTCCTGGGCGGCCAGGCCGATGCCCTTGGTGGAAGGCACGGTGAAGCTGCCCAGCAGCGAGCAGATGCTGATGTAGACCATGATGTTGGTGGGCCCGTGCGCCGGCGCGATCCAGAAGATGAGCAGCAGCAGCATGAGCAGCACGATGCACAGGTAGCCCACGAACACTGCAAGACACGAGCGAGCGCCCGGCTCGTTTGACTGTGGCTTTAAAAAACGTGTTTACTGATCTCAGAGACGAGAGAGAGAAACATCCGCGATGAGAGAGAATCATGGGCCCTGGCCGGTGTGGCTCAGTGGATAGAGCGTCGGCCTGAGGACTGAAGGGTCCCGGGTTCGATTCTGGTCAAGGGCACATGCCCGGGTCGTGGGCTTGATCCCCAGTGGGGGACGTGCAGGAGGCGGCCGATCCATGATTCTCTCCCATCAGGGATCTTTCCATCTCTCCCTCTCCCTCCCTTCCTCTCTTTCTAAAAATCAATGAAAACGTATTTTTTAAAATGCAAAGAGAAAAGAGAGGGACCTCGGTGGGGACCATGAAGGTAAGTCACATGGGGGGAGCGGGGCCGGGACACAGGTGGTCCCCAGCTCGAGGCCCAGAGCGGACCCCTGGCCGGGCCGGGAGACAGGGCCACTCCGCACCCGGACAGCAGGGGGTCTCGGGGTCACGCCACGGCGCTCGCGGGCGGCAGAGCGGTCACCTGGGTTGGTCAGCTTCTCCTCCAGCTCGGCCTGCGTGGTCACACTCTCAGATTTCGGGGAGTGGATGATCAGCACGACGGAGCCCGCACAGCTGAGCAGACACCCCAACTTGCCCAAGATGTTGAGCTTCTCCTTCAGAAGGTACGAGGCTAGAATGGACCTTCGATGCAAGAAAAGAGGGATCCAGGCTGGGATCGGACCCTCGGCCCGGTCCCCACGCACAGCAGTTCCTTAAGAAAACCCACATTTCCTCGCAGCCGGATTTCACTTTTCAGTTCGTAAGAGTAGAGAGATGGGCAGCTTCTTGGAGTTAATTCAACACAAATAGGATTTTCATACGAACTCTATGCACAGCCAATATACAGTGAACGACTCAGCTCGTTGTGCTGTTCAGCGGATATGAAATACACCAGAGCATCAAAGTGAGCTTTCCGACGGACAAAAATAAAAATAATGCGCCTTATTTTTTAAAAAAATAATCAAACACCTATTTTAAGTAGAAAAGTGGGATATTAAAATTGGTAAAATAATGACAAGTAACTCATGATCAAAACACTTAAGCCCTGGCCGGCGCTCAGTGGTTAGAGCAGCGGCCTACGGGGTTGCGGGCTCGATCCCCAGTGCAGGGTGTGCAGGCCTGAAGGGTCATGGGTTGGATTCCCAGTCAAGGGCATGACCCTGGGTTGCAGGTTCGATCCCCGGACCCGGTCAGGGAGCAAGCAGGAAGCAGCCAATCGACGTGTCTCTCTCACATCAATGCCTCTCTCTCTCTCCTTTCTACTCTCTAGGAATCAATGGAGAAAATACCCTTAGGAGAGAATTTAAAAAGTAGTAATTCACACAACTGAACGTGGAGGAATAAATTAAACCACGTCGAGGGAAATACCAAAGAACTTTCTCTAGCGACAATTTCACATTTACTCTTTGACCAGAAACACTGAAAAAAACACACGTTTCTATCTATTTACATAAACAACACATGAAAAACCAAATCACAGAGTCCCAGCTCTCACCCGAACGGCACGCCGAGGGCACCCAGGGGCGTCACCAGGACCGTGGGGACCGCCGTGTACGCCAGGAAGTTCCCGATCTGGCCAACAGCCACTGGAATCAGACCCGAGAGAAGCGAAGGGTTATCACTAGAACCAGGGCCCCTCGCCAGTCCAGAGGCCCTGCCCCGAGAAAGCTGCTGCTTGTCCACTCCTCGCGAGAAACCAAACCTGGGCATCTTCGCCTCGGCCGGGGCAACACGTCCTTGTTTCAGAAAGAGCCGTGCAGCCCAGCCCGCGTGGCTCGGGGGTCGCGCTTCAACCAGCCAACCAAGAGGTCGCTGGTTCTAATCCCGGTCGGGGCACAGGCCCGGGCTGCGGGCTCGATCCCCAGTGGGGGGCCTGCAGGAGGCAGCCGGTCCATGGTTCTCTCTCATCGTGGACGTTTCTCTCTCTCTCTCCCTCTCCCTTCCTCTCTGAAATCAATGCAATATATTTTCTTGATGGAAGGAAGGGAGGGAGGGAGGGAGGAAGGAGATCAAGCCGCTCCCACCCCCCCACACACAGGGTACTTACTTGCGATCGTGCCTGCTCCACCACACCACGTCTGTAGGTAGGAGGTACCTAGGACAGAGCGAGACACGTGTCAGGAAAGCAGAAGCCAGAGTTGCTCTGGCCGGTGTGGCTCAGCGGATAGGGCATCAGCCTGCAGACTGAAGGGTCCTGGGTCCGATTCTGGTCAAGAGCACAGGCCCTGGTTGTGGGCTCGATCCCCAGTGTGGGGCGTGCAGGGGGCAGCCGATCCATGATTCCCTCTCATCATGGATGTTTCTCTCTCTCCCTCTCCCTTCCTCTCTGAAATCAATAAAATTAAAAAAAAAAGAAGGCAGTGGTTTACAAGCTGAAGAAAAGAATTACATGAAAACTGAAGCTGGAAACAATCATGATGCCCGTCCAGTGTGGCTCAGTTGGTTGGAGGGTGAGGAGAGAGGGGCTCCGCATGCCCCCAGCGGCTCCCGCTGGCCTCCCTCCCCCAACACACAGGTGAGTGGGGAGGCACCTTGCAGCAGGTCAGTCAAGCCTGCAGGTGAGTCCAGCCCCAGACACCACCCGACCCCAAGGGAGAGCTGCCCATCGGAGTCCAGTGCACCCCGGGCACCACGACAGGTAAGTGAGCCGGGACTCCACCCCCAGGAAGGAAGCCAGGCCCCGGCCGGCCGCTAACTCTCACTGCTCTCACCACCTTCCTTATCGGAGAGGAGATCTCCCCTCGGCGCTGGACGGCGGCCGACAGGGCGACCGCGTTTCAGGCCGGGCAAGGGCTCCGGATCCTGTGACCTGGCAGAGCCCACAGGCTCAGGTACTCAGCTCTGAGCACCTTCAAGAAAGCTCTCAACTCTTTTCGTAAAACTTAACATTCAGCCCGGCCGGTGGGGCTCAGGGGCCGAGCGTCGACCTAGGAACCAGGAGGAGGTCGCGGCTCGATGCCCGGTCGGTCGGGGCACCTGCCCGGGCTGCGGGCTCGATGCCCAGTGCGGGGCGTGCAGGAGGCGGCCGACCCACGAGTCTCTCTCATCCTGGACGTTGCTCCTCTCCCTTCCTCTCGGAAATGAATACAAATACATTTTTAAAGCCATAAACAAAATACCGGTGACGTGATGGTTCCACCCCGCGTCCCAGGCCCCTCCGTCTGTCTCCGAAGGTTCTCCAGGCCAGACCGAGGGCGCGTCTGGAATGTGAACTTGAAATGCATGTAATTCTCCATCGCACGCCTCGGCGGGCTCTTTTTTTAACGTTTTAACTTTTATTTATTCATTTCTATTATCTTTTTATAGATGTCAGAGGGGAAGGCAGAGGGAGAGAGAGAGACATCCATGATGAGAGAGTCGCCGCACCTGGGGATCGCGCCCGCAGCCCCGCCTGTGCCCCGACCGGCAGCAGCCGTGACCTCCCGGGTCCTGGGTCGCCGCTCGGGGGACCCCGCTAACCACGGACGCCGCCGGGGTCGCAGCATCCACCTGCCGCCTCGGGCGCCGAGGGTCCGCGCAGGCTCCTGATCGGTCCCCCAGCGTAGGGTGGGCCGGGTGACTGGGGCGTCCCCTGCACTGAGCTGGCTATCGATTTTCGGGTCACAACAAATCTTGCTGCACAGAATTCGGGGTAAAAGGGGCACGGTCGAACGGCAGCCAAAATTAGGAATAACCATTGAGAAACCCCCAAAGTTAGTTGCACCCCTCGGAAACTTTTTTCTATCATTATTGGGGAGGGGCAGCCCTGCCCCAGCCCCACC